CAACACTGTATATATATATATATATATATATATATAACACACACACACACACACATACACACATTCATTTATAATGTGTAAGAAAAATATTACCTGTCACATTACAGAGACAACACATTTTTCTAAAATTAAATTGTCTTTTATATGGTCACTGCACTAAAGTCAAACTAAATCAATGCAATATTAATCTGACAAAATTTACTTCCAACCACTAATAAAATATTGTTAGATGCATAAATCTTGCATATAAAAAATGAAAAATAATAAACATAAATCTGATGTATAAAAAATTGATTAGATATATTTATTTCTTACAATTAATAATAGAGATGTAAATTATTACATTATAATTAATACATTATAATAAAATAAATAATACATTATTAAAATAAAATGAAAAACAGCAAAATATCAAATTCAGTAAATGCATGAAAAATATTATTAAATATATTTTATTAATATCTTGTGAACTTAATACATTTTGCAAAGTTTTGTTTTCGCTTAAATTTTTTGCAGCCCCCAAACACCCCAATTTGAACCCTTTGCTCTAAAACATTATAAACAATGAATTGCATGACCAAATTTAAAGGGGTCATATGATGCGATTTCAGGTTTTCCTTTCTCTTTGGAGTGTTACAAGCTCTTGGTGCATAAAGAAGATCTGTAAAGTTGCAAAGACTAAAGTCTCAAATCCAAAGAGATATTCTTTATAAAAGTTAAAGAGTCAACCACACCTACCTAAAACGGCTCGTTCTAACACGCCCTTTAAAATGAAATGGGTGGAATTTTTATTTTTATAATAAAACAGACATTTTAAGTCATTTATAAAACTATAGTAATCATAAAAATATGACAATAATAATGATTAATTATTATTATTGTATATTTTGTGTATTATTATTTTTACAGACATTTGCCTTTCTTTTTATTATATTTAATTATTGCATAGAAACTATTAAACGAATGTTATTAAATTATAAATAAATTTAAAAAACGGTAGCAATATTAACTGATTATTTTTATTATTATTAGCTATTTTTTTTTTACACTTTCGCTTATTAGCTTTTTTGTTTACTTTTGCCTCTGATTATTAATAATAATCATAATATGTTAAATCATTATATTAAATTATAATATAAAATGTAATCATTTGAATCTTGCATTTATTTGACTGTCTGTAAGAATACTGTATGCGGTATATATGTATTTGTGTACTTACCTCACAGTAAAATCTGTCTCCTCCCACTGAAGCTTAGCCAAGGGGCTTCCCTCTTTCAAGACCCCGAGCAGAGTCGCCCGTCGACCGCTGGGTTTGTGCAGACAGGTCCCTCCAGCACGGAGACCGCTGTCCACACCTCCGATCAGGGCCATGACGGGCCAGACTTCAGTGCACAACACACTGAGCTGGCCGTCAGAGAGCCCCGCTGGGCCAGAGAGGTGGTCTGTCGATGTCCCGACATCTGCCCAAGCAGAGCCCCTCTCACATTTCTCATCGAACTCCTTACTGGCATGACCTGCTGGCAGAGGACGAAATATATTAACCCTTAGAACACAACTGGCATAGTAACCGATTACAAAAAGCCTTTTCTAAAAAGTAATTAATGGGAAAATTTCTATATTATATACACTCCTGGAAACAAGACGAGTAATCAACATTTTAAAGTCTAGAAAAATATGTTTTAAAAGTTTCTAAATGTATTTAGAATACATTTTTGTATACATTTAGTTTTTTACATTTACATTTATTCATTTAGCAGACATTAAGTCTGCTAGTTTTTTATTTTTATTTTAAACACCTAGTTTTTATTTCTAGCTTTTATCTATTGTAGCATTTCTATAGCATAGTAAAGCTAACAGACAAGGTCTAAAACATTTCCAAAATGATTCATTGCAATGATGCCACACAAATATATAGACTATATATGTGACCCTGGACCACAAAACCAGTCATAAGGGTCCATTTTTCGAAATTGAGATTAATATAGCATATGAAAGCTGAATAAATAAGCTTTCCATTGATGTATGGTTTGTTAGGATAGGACCATATTTGGCCGAGATACAACTATTTGAAAATCTGGAAACTGAGGGTGCAAAAAAATCAAAATATTGAGAAAATCGCCTTTAAAGTGGTCCAAATTAAGTTCTTAGCAATGCATATTACGAATCAAAAATTAAGTTTTGATATATTTACGCTAGGAAATTTACAAAATATCTTCATGGAACATGATCTTTACTTAATATCCTAATGATTTTTGGCATAAAAGAAAATTAAATAATTTTGACTCATACAATGTATTTTTGGCTATTGCTACAAATTTACCCCAGCAACTTAAGACTGGTTTTGTGCTCCAGGGTCACATATAATATGTATATTTTAGCAGACAAGTTAACTGACCTATCTTGCCTTGTCCCTCTCTCATGAGAGGGTTGATGAGCTGTAGTTTGTTCAGCATGTGCTGGTTGATATTTTGAACCCAGTCATCGTTCACGTACAGTCGTCTTAGCAGCTGAATGGTGGACTCCAGCAGAACTGTGGCCCTTGGGCTGCACAAGGGCTCCCCTGGCAGAAGATCGCTAGGCATTCCACGCATCTGCAAGTCACATAGCGCCACCTACAGGCCAGTCGAAGAACAGGAGGGTTTTGAAAGTTTAATTATAATATATGATATAATTATAAAGTTAAAAATTTAACAAACAAAAGTGGTGTAGAGGTTTATGAGGCTGGCCTTTTCTCCTGGGTTGCTGCTGTAGAAAAGAACACAGGGGTAGAGCTCTGTGGCATCCACTCCTTCAAACGCTAGCTTGGGCTCCTACACATACATAAAAACAACTTAAACACCTCATATTTCATCTTACCCCATATATTTCTATTTTACGTTCATTACTGTTTTTGCATTATTATTTTATTTTTTGAAAATTATTTTCCATGTGAATAGAGCTTGAATTTAACCTATTATATTTTCTAAAATTTTGTTTGCAATGCATTTCACATTGTCGCATTGTGCATAACTTCATAATTATATTTTATACAGAATATTCAGCAAGAAATAATGTAATACAGGACTTTATCTAAGTTGTTTGGATTTTATTGAAGTTTTAAAAGTATTAATTTTCTTAGAATTAACATAAAATATATATGTTTTCCAACCAATGCAACTCATGTTATGCAAGCTGAAAATAAAAAAATTAAAAGTTTTCACCATTTTTTTTTAGGTTTTTACAAGAAAAACCTTTTTCCTTCAAAATAATGCGCACAGAAGCACTGCACACAATTATTAAAAAGTCTATTAAATCTATCATACTCTTTTAATTTGGATTTAATTCCAACTTTAAATGTTCTACTAGCTTATAAATCAAGCAATACTTTTTGACAGTAATTATAATCCATATATTATTGTACTTTAAATAAGTAATGTTATGTTCAAAACAAAAGCTCCAAAGCTTGTTAAATAATATTTTTTTCCTCCAATATCATAATTTTTATATGAAGCCTAAAGTAACTTTGTCTATGAAATACAGTTATAGGGATATAGGCACATTTAAAATAGACAAATCACAGATTTAAACTATGAATTTGTTGCATTAAATGTGTCAGCCTAAAATAGTAATCACTTTGCCAAAATAAAATAAAATAAAATAAAATAATAAAATAAAATAAAATAAAATAAAATAAAATAAAATAAAATAAAGAATCGTTCACAGAAACAAATTAAAACCAGTAGGTGTAACAGGAAAATAATTCAAACTAAGGACATAAACACACTGACCCTGTTGTTTTTGGAGAAAGAGATTGTTCTGGCCTCCATGTCTAGGATGCAGGTGATGGTGTCGCCCTGGGTGAAGGAGGGCAGAGCTCGGCCCAGCTCTCCTCCATGATACAGGCTACCGCTGTAGGCCCGGTACAGCCACATGTCTGTGGTGGTCCGGTGGTTGTAGTCCCGGATGGGCCATCGGGACACTCCAATACATGTCCCTTCATTTCCTCTGTTCTCCTTAGTGATATAAAACTAAGAGATGGAGACAAAAAACATTAGAATGCAGACCCTGTAAAAGACAAGGGACACCAGTGACTGTATTTTCTATTGTTACCTTCCAGATGAAGAATCCAGATGTGATGGCAGTGGTGGCCAAACCGTACCCTTTTCCCCCCGATCCATGAGAGAGTACATTCCCGCTCTCCAGAGAACAACAGATCAGTTTATGAGGGTCGAAAGAGAAATCACCAATAGGAATACATTCATCTTCACTTCCGCTGTCCTGGGGGACACACAAGCACATATAAAACAATCTAAAATGCATGGACACAAATACGATAGGGTAAAATCTGTACAATGAACAGACAGAGGTGTGCTTAAATACCCTATTTGAGTTCTCCAAAGTTCTCTCTTTTTCGAAGTTTTTCCTCAGGGCCAAAGGTTCCTCCCACATGTATGTGGACAAAAGGCTAAATAATTGATCAACAATCTGAAAACAAAAATGACATGGTAAACTCTTAAGTCAGAATCAATCAACCACCAATCATTTAGTGTCAGGTGCACAGCATTGATAAAAAACAAAACAAAAAAAAACACTTCTTTTCTCACCTGTTTCATGACAACAGGGTCTGAACAGACAGGGAGAAGAGCTTCTAGAATATGGAAGGCCAGCAGCTTCGTCCGCAGGTTGTGAAAGCGTGGATTTCCAGAGTTGCATTTGTACGAGATAATTGTCATCAGTGGATCAATCCACTTGACAAATGCGGAGACTCTTTTGGCGACCCTTAGAGACAAAATGCGTCTTAGGAAGACTAGAAAGTCAGCAAGCTGGGACTCCACAACCCTGCTGCTACGAACTACATCTGCACCTAAAATAAAACAAAAAAAGTATAATATAAAATAATTCAGAATAGAATAGAATTCATAATATAACAGTAAACAGTAAAATATATAATTTAATTTATTATTATTACGATTAAATGTAAATTACAAAATAGTCCATTAGAAATTAAGCTAATATTATTTATTATTTTACTTTTATTTTACCTACTCATATTATTAAGCATGCTAAATAAATAAATAAATAAACAATGTAAAATTAAAGTAATTAGTTAACAAATATATATATAAAAAAAATGTAAATATGCAATGACAAAATAATAAGATTACATTTAATATTTATGACTAGTGTTATATAAAATATATATAAAAACACTGAATCTTGTGTTGAAATGACTGACTTTCTTGTTTGGAAGTTTCTTCCTGGATGTGCTCTGTGGAATCCCTCTCTAGCACCTCCTGCTGGTGGACTGCATGTAACAATCCCTGCAGCTGCTCGCTCATTACATCCATGAGAGCCTGGGACACTTCCAATGGCAAGGCCTCTTCACAGGAACTGGAGAAACACACACACAGTTTTCTTTAACTGCAGATGTACAACATAGATTGTCTGCAGCCAGGTACTGTTGCTGTTATTGGCAGAGGGGATGTTTGTGGATACCAAAACATCCATATGAAATTATGTTTTGAACTTTCCTTACTATGCAAAACTGTTACATTAAAGCAATATTATGATGTAGTGTAAGGATAAAAGAAACTCAGATACTTTGATCTCCTGAGAAACAAACAATACACTGGCATCTTTAAGACACCCCACAGAGGGGTGGTGCAGGAAACGCCTCTCTCACATATGCATCAGTTCCTTTTCATCTCCTCCCTCCGTTTAATTCACTCAGAATGGTCAAGAATATAATGTTCTATATGAATGCAAATAAGATTTACAGTCATGTTTGGTTTCATTTGAATAGTGTCAGGGTGAGTGGTACAATGGTCTTAATCTTACTAACTGGATACCTTCCTTGGGCCATGTGCGCGGACCTTACAGTAGCAAGAAGAATGCTTTGAGCACGATTATCTAAGGCATCAGTTTTCAAAATGTGAGGTTTTAAGAGCATATCTTGGGAGGCGTTTTCTCGTTCTGTATCTAATTATCAAGTTTATAATCTCACCTGGCCGCTATGGCGAGTATCTGCAGGAGTCTGGCAGTGGCCACCTTCACCGCCCCACCGAGCTGCATGTGACCGGACATGGAGGCGGCCAGCCAGCGCTGGTTCACCAGCACACAGGTGTTATCAGTCAGAGTGGACAAGAACTCCAGGACGCCACATTTAATTATCACCACCAGATCCACTGGCTGATAGTGGAAGTTCAGAGCAAAGACTGTAGCTAACAGCAGGTGCTGATAAGAGCCTGAAATGAGACAAATCTATGGTAAATCACTACTTACTTAAACTGGCATATTATTAGAGTACTTGGACTATGCCAAACTATAAAATAGAGTCAAAATTTTAACCACAAAGCAATATCACAAATTAATGTCTATTTAAATTAGTGGGTAATGATAATATTACAGAAAAAAAATCTGTTTTAAATGGTCAAATAAAAATAACATTTAATTAAAAGATAAAATAAACATCACTAATAATACTATTTCCCCTTGTTTATCCAACTAAGATATGAAAAGTGCATGCGCATAGTACAGTAGGCATTGTATAAAGTCTATAATTTTATTAACATTAAAATGCACTGTAAAGTACAAAATGGTTCATTTAAATTTACTTATTATTTACCCTGTTTTATATTAGCTGCTCATTATTAATAAAAAATAAAATAATAAAGTCAAATTATATTAGTAAAACATTTCAGTTATAAAATATTCAGTTTAAATGTAAATATCAGTACTATTTTCATTATTTGTATTATGTGCATTTACATAATTAATATAAAAAGTATTAAAAAAATTAAGTATTTATAAAAAACTAAAAATGGCCAAAAAAATAAACATTTATAAAAAAAATTAATACTTTTTTTGTGCATTTAGACCAATGCTACATGCTCGAGTAAGAAGCGTTACCCACCAGCCTGTTCTCTCTCTAGTGCCACTTTCTGTCTGAACACACGCACCAGTTGCTGGTACAGCGTGTGAGCTGCAGACTGTAACTCCCTCTGAACACTGATGGGAGCCGACTGAGTCCCAGCCTAGACACAAACCAACATTTCAAACATCATACTTCAATGAGAATATAGGCCTAATCTATAAGGGAGATGTTCAGGTCAAGAAAAAAAAAATCATGCATGAAATTTGGAAAAATTTGTGATTTGCATTTGAGGAAATGTCATTATCAGTGTGTCTTACGGTGTAATGGTGAATCTTGTTGTTAGGTGCCGCTAGACTGCCGGTGATCGGGGCTCCCAGACCAAAGCAGCCAGAGAGGAACTGCAGCTGCACTGACTGCAAGAGGCCTGGAAAACGAGGAGGCGCTAGAGAGCTAACACTCTTTTCCTCCATCTCTGACAGGAAAGAGGAAATCTGACACAAGGCCTCCAAACGAACCTGGAAGGAGGGTATGAAAACAACTGCGATGTCTCTACATCTAGTTATTGAAAGTAAAATGGATCTGCAATGGATTTCCCACCTGAGCTCTTTGGTGTTGCTGTGCCATGGCTATGGTGATGGCTTTGGGATCCACATGTGCACCTCCATCTTTGTCCACCAGAGAAGAGGTTTGAAGGAGGCTCCCACACAGGAAATGGAAGACCTGGCCCAGGATGGGTGTGCCACCTCCGCCTGGGCACAGCATAGTAGTGGGACTGATGCACTGTCGCAGTCGCTCCCAGGCATCTTTCATGATGCCCAAAGAACAGAGTGGAAGGCCTTGCAAGAAACAAGGCTGATTAGCTCAGAGGTGTGATATTTAAGCTAACTAAAACTGATGATTACAGTTTATGTGAAAGAAGAGAGAGACAAAAATGCAATGCGAGTTATCAGACATGCGAGATCAGATTAGATGTGTGGGATCAGATGTGTGACATAAGACCTCAGAAATCAGATTAGAGATCACATGAGATTAGGCAAGCAAGATAAAGCAGGTGTGAGATCAGACATGAGAGATCAGATATGTGAGAACAGACAGGTGAAATGTAAGAGATGAATTATTTGATATATGTGAATTCAGACATGTAAGATGTGAGAAATCAGAAATGAGAGATCATACATCACATCAGATACGTCAAAGATCTGACATGCCAGATCAGACTGGTAAAAGATAAGTTGCAACAAATCCAATATGTGTGAGATGAGATCAGATATGTAAGCTATTTGAAATCAGATGTGAGAATTCATACATGTAAGATCAAATATGTGAGATCAGTTATGTTAGATCAGACATGTGAGATGAGGAACACATGAGGAATTAGAAACAGAAGATCAGACAGGTGATATCAGACATGAAAAAACAGTTTCATCAAAGAACTGAACTGTGATATCAGACAGGTAAAAAACAAATCAAAGATGCAAAATACCCACTATGTGTGAGATCAGATATTAAATATGTAAGATATGTGAGATCAGACGCAAGGAATCTTACAGATGAGATCAGTTCAGTTCAATGAGATGTGAGATGACAATAAATATTAGAAACGTGAGATCAGACAGTTGATATCAGACATGTGAAAGATCAGATATGTTAAAGATCTGACATGCAATATCAGACAGGTTAAAGATCAAAGATGAAACAAATCCAGTATGTGTGAGATCAGATATGTAAGATATCTGAGATCAGATGTGAGAAATCATACGTGAGATCAGATATGTAAGAGATCAGTTTTGTTAGCCGAGACATATGAGATGACACAGAAAATAGAAATGTGAGATCCGACAATTGATATCAGACGTGAAAAATCAGATTTTTTAAAGATCTGACATGCAATATCAGACAGTTAAAGATCAGAGATGCAACAAATCTACAGCGGGTAAAATAAGTATTGAACACGTCACCATTTTTCTCAGTAAATATATTTCTAAAGGTGCTGTTGACAAAATTTTCACCAGATGTCGTAACAACCTAAGCAATCCATACATATAAAGAAAACAAAACAAATAAGTTCAGACATTAAGTTCTGTGTAATAAAGTGGAATGACACAGGGAATAAATATTGAACACATGAAGAAAGCGAGGTGCAAAAAGGCATGGAAAGTCAAGACACCAGCAGAAATCTATCAGTAATTAGAAAGCAATCCTGCCCCTTGTCAGTGGAAATTACTTTTAGCTGGTTTAGTCCCAACTGATGGCCTATAAAAAGGTGTCTTATTACCAACGTGTCACACGAGAAACATTTCATGATGGGTAAAAGCAAAGAGCTCTCTCAAGACCTTCGCAACCTTATTGTTGCAAAACATACTGATGGCATTGGTTACAGAAGGATTTCTATACTTCTGAATGTTCCAGAGAGCCAAGGACCACTTGTGGAGAGCTTCAGAAAGATCTGGAATTAGCAGGTACAATTGATTCAAAGAAAACAGTAAGTAATGCACTCAACCGCCGTGGCCTGTATACACGCTCACCATGCAATACTGCATTGCTGAAGAAAAAGCATGCTGAAGCTCATTTAAAGTTTGCTGCAGAACATTTAGACAAGCCTGTGAAATACTGGGAGAATATAGTCTGGTCAGATGAGACAAAAAGTGTACTCTTTGGATGCCATTATACACACCATAGCTGTGTCCCAATTCGTAGGCTACAGCCTACGGAGGAGACGAAAATAAGAACTAAAGATCAGAGTTCATAGAAGAGGCCCACAGAACTTTCGAGAGTTGAAGACTCTGTGGAAGAATGGGCCAAAATCACACCTGAGCAATGCATGCGACTAGTTTCTCCATACAGGAGGCGTCTTGAAGCTGTCATTACCTACAAAGGCTTTTGTACGAAGTATTAAATAAATTTCAGTAAGCGTGTTCAATACTTTTCCCCTGGGTCATTCCATTTTATTACACAGAACTTAATTTCTGAACTTATTTGTTTTATTTTCTTTGTATGTATGGATTACTTGGGTTGTTACCGACTTCTGGTGAAAATTTCATGTCAACAGCACCTTTAGAAATATATTTACTGAGAATAATGGTGACGTGTTCAACACTTATTTTACCCACTGTATGTGTGAGATCAGATATGTAAGATATCTGAGATCAGATATATGCGAAATCATCCGTGAGATCAGACGTGAGATATCAGTTATGTTAGCCGAGACATATGAGATGACACAATTTCTGAACTTATTTGTTTTATTTTCTTTGTATGTATGGATTACTTGGGTTGTTACCGACTTCTGGTGAAAATTTCATGTCAACAGCACCTTTAGAAATATATTTACTGAGAATAATGGTGACGTGTTCAACACTTATTTTACCCACACTTATTTTATGTGTGAGATCAGATATGTAAGATATCTGAGATCAGATATGTGAGAAATCATCCGTGAGATCAGACGTGAGATATCAGTTATGTTAGCCGAGACATATGAGATGACACATTAGAAATTAGAAACATGAGATCAGACAGTTGATATCAGACATGTGAAAAACCTGACATGTTAAAGATCTGACATGCAATATCAGAGGGGTAAAAGATTTAAGATGCAACAAATCTACTATGTGTGAGATCAGATAAGATACCTGAGATCAGATGTGAGAAATCATGCGTGAGATGAGATATGTAAGAGATCAGTTATGTTAGATGACATATGCGAGATGAGACACATGAGAAATTAGAAACTACAGATGAGTGAGATCAGACAGGCGATATCAGTCATGTTAGAGATGAAACATGCAATAGATCCAATATGTGTGAGATCAGACATATGAGATCAAACTTATAATAAAATAATATGCTACTTCATACACCACTCACCAATTTTATTTTTGAATGACCCTGAGGAGCTTTTAGATTCATCTGGTGTCTGTGACAAAACAGATTACAAATAACAAAATCAAGAGATGAATTCATTGATATTAAACTAGGGGGAACATGAGAAACATAAATACCTCTCTCTCACTGAATCTTCTCTCAGAAGACTGTAACTCCATCTTTGATCCTAACGCCTCATAGTAGAGTGGAGATCTATGTAGTGAAAGAGATTTATCACTTTCAGATTGTTTCACACCCACACATGCAAATGTTTGTAATTGCACACAACACAAACCTGGCCAAGCTGCTCTCAGTGGGCGTCTGTGACGACACACTCTCCTCCTGCCAAGCAGCTCGGACCCCCAGCAGCAGGAAAAGGCAGCGTGAGACCAGCAGGTGGCAGGCTGCTGGGAAGGACAGGCCCTGGTCGGTGATGCTGTGGTGGTCCCAGGGACGCTGGGGGGGCTCCCTGTCTGGCGTCCCAGGGCTCTCAGTGCTGCTGGGTAACGTGCTAGTGCCAGACGACTCGTACACAGTCTCGTTCTGTTGGAGCTGCATGGCCTCACGGGTGGCCAGGAAACACTGCAGCACCTCTGCGGGGAGGAGGACACAACCAAATATTTCACAATTACACAATACAACACCAGAGGGAGTATTTTAGAGACAATAGTGTCACATGAATCCCAAAAATGATCAGGGTTGTTACTGTTAATTAAAACTTAAACCTTTCTGCCTGCTGCTGCGACTGCGCGCAGAGCAAAAGGTCGTCCAAATAGGCTGATACTCTTGACTCCCGCTTGACGCAGCAGTGTCAGAGCAGCCTCTACACATTTGCTGAAAGTTCTCGGTGCGAGAGACAAACCGAACGCAATCCTTTGATACTCGTAAGCTCTGCCCTGATAAGCAAACCTGAGAAATTTCCTGTGTGCAGGAAATATTTCTATATGGAAGTAAGCGTCCTTGAGATCTATCGATGTGAACCAATCTCCTTGACGCACTACTTGTGATAACGTTCGTAAGTTGAGCATTTTGAACCTGTATTTCCTGAGGTGTTTGTTCAGGGCCCGCAAATCTAAAATAGGGCGGAGACCCCCACCTTTTTTGGGAATCCCAAAGTACCGGGAGTAAAACCCTTGCTGGCTTTCTTCTCACGGCACCGTTCTTATCACTCCTTTGTTCAAGAGAGAAGATATTTCTTCCTCTAAAACCTGCACCGATTCCCCCTGTGCTGTTGACATAACCACTCCTTTGAAACTCGGTGGTTTTACAGCAAATCTGTGCAGCCAAAGACAGAACAGTTAGCATGTTTTGCTCAAACTTTCGCCATGGCATTAGAGCTGGTACACCGTTGTCGCTTGCGAAAACACAATGACGGCGCTGTGGGTGTATTACATTTACAGATTAAGGTTCGGTAATATTATAATGAGATCCCTTTGCCAAGTCACCAAGGGAGCGAAATCAGACGCGCTCGTTTTCTCAGACGCTTGCAGAAAAAGGCTTACCGAAACAAAGTTACTGGGTTAATCTTTTTCACGTTTCCTTGATTGGTAGATGCACCGTGGACCTGATTATAGCACTTAAAACCTGGAAAAGTCAGATTTTCATGATATGTCACCTTTAAATCATTAAAACATTTTCATTACTTGAAATAAAATATAACAATTAAAAGGAATAAGAACTGTTGCCTTGGCAAAATAAGTTTAAGTACCAAAATAACTAAAAAAAATAACTAAAAAAACTATATAGTTTTTTTTTTTTTATGTATACTACATAATTTAAAAAAACAAAAAAATTTAATGAAAACCGAAAATATAAAATTAAAATCAAATTCAAAATATTAAAAAACCCATAATAGTGTATCAGTGATATTAAAATTACACTGACCATGATAAATCTATTGATAGCATGCAATCTTAAATGTTTATACATAAGACAATAGGTGTCTCAAGATGTCTTTTTAAAAGTTGAACTATTTAGAACAATGACAAAACAGCAAAGTCCTGACAAAAACCTAGTGCATGTTCTTATAAAAACACAAATCAAAAACTTTGCAAATGTCCTGTGACACAATGTTTTTACATATATTTTAATACAAGTTAAGAGAGTAAGTGAAGCATTCAATTAAAGGATATAAATGATTTTAAGTATTTAATCCCAGAACTGTAGCCCCCAAAAAGTTGGTTAGACACCACAACACTAAGATTGTTAAACAGACCTCATTCTGAGACAAAGAAACCTCTGGTATATATTTCAACAGAAGCACACACTTGCTCTGTGAGGGAAGAACACAGAAAGCAGTGTGTTTACCCGGCAGGTACATACTGCTGATGCTGGGCGTTTCCTCCTCTAAGGGATCATCCTGGTTGTGTTCAGCTGTATGGGGCTTCAGGCTGCTGGGATCTGTGTCTCTTCCTGTCTGCTCTCCAGAACTGCCCGCTTCCTGCCTCTCCTCACTGGGGCTCTGAGAGCCCAATGAAGCCTGGACACGATGAAACACAGAGTAACAGTGATAATGTTGGTTAATGTTACTTTGTCCCTGGTTAGTGTGCATCAGCATTAAGAAATTGGGAGGTAGGGAAAGTCATTATATTATATTGCAGAAGGTTGATCTGGATATTCATGACTGTCAATTCATATTCACTAAACTCTCACAAATGAGTCATTATGGCTGAGGAATTTATCATGTGAGATTTCTCACAGTACAGAGAGAGACAGGCACTGACACTTTAATATTCACATACAGAGTCATTCTTTAAATAGAGCATATATTCGTTAAGTCTGGGTCAACTAATTAAAGAGTTCATTACACTATGGCAGAAGGGAGACGTGGGAAGACAAAGGTGTTCAAGAGATCTAGGTAAAGAGAGAGAGAATGAGGGCGAGGTGTGGATCTCACTCACTTATCCTGCCAGTAGGCTTCATGAAGGCCGGCATGTTTGAGTAGAGCGGCCAAACTACAGCGACACGCCGTCTCTAACAGAGAGTCTCCCACTGATCCACTATTGTCCCAATCTGCATAAAAACACACATGTGAAGGTCAATACTTAGACAGGTACATGATGATCGTTCACAGTTCTTGTGGTGCAAATAAAATCAGGTAATTCTGCCAATAGTTATAGGTATAGATTTGTATAGGCAGATTCCACATTCCAGCTACGAATGAGGGATCTATGTATTATTCTATGGTCATAGGAACTATGAAAATTTTCCTCTGGTGCAAAACCCACTTTTCTAAGTATCTGGTACCAAAAAAGTATGTAAATAAATGTCTTGCAATATTTTTTACCTTCTTTTCATATTCTACACACTTAAACAAATCCTGCCCCTCTCTTACCTCGACTCGCCGCATACTCCTTCATCTTCCTCCAGAGGGCACTGGCAGGTTCTCGCAGTGAGCCAAGAGCGAGTTCCACTAACGTTGTGTTCTCTTCCGACAGCAGCAGCTCGGCTAGTCTCACGTCTCCACAACCCATGAACACGGCCTCAGTCAGCCAACCCATTGCCCAGTCTATAGGATAACATACACAGAGTATTTATTTTTCTGTATTTATGTGTGTTTATAACACACAACATAAACAATAAGCTGTTGCCTCCTGGTGGCAGGTCATTACCCAGCTGTTCAAAGTCTATCTCCAGCCCATTTCTCAGGAGCGGGTTACACAGCCAGAACTCTGCTGTCTTCTCCTGAATGGAAGGGGGTGGGCCCTGAAGCATACCTCCCAGGCATCGGCCAATGGCAAGAGCAACAGACCTCTCCAGGTCTAGTAGCCACGCCCAGTCTTCTGACTCTGGCACTGTGATTGGCTCAGAGATTTCAGATGCTTCTGCAATAGAAAGTACATTTAGATTTACATTTAGTCATTTAGCAGACGCTTTTATACAAAGCGACTTTCAAATGAGGACAATAGAAGCAATCAAAACCAACAAAAGAGCAATTATATGCAAGTGCTATGACAAGTCTCGGTTAGCCTAGTAAAAGTAGGAGTTTGCAATTGGCAGTACTGTGTCTATCTTGATGATCTATCATTTGTTAATGATTAAGTTGTTTTTGTACCGTTTAAATGTCAAACAATGCATTAAGGTATTCGGAACGTTTTCCAAGAATGACAGAAATACATAATTCTGGTCCTTACCATCTGAGGTTCCTTCCAGCTCCATGTCCTCCAGGTGCGCAGTGTTGGGCAAGTAACAGTTGAGCTCATTGAGATGTTCAAGCAGAGTGAGCAGGTGAGGAAGGAGGGGTTTGACCACAGCCAATGGCAGCAGGAGCAGAGAGTACATCACCTGACACAGCAGACTCCCCGCCACCGAACCAAACAGCACAGCTATAGAGAAACACATATAACTCAATACACTGGGTCTGGTTGGATCACAGGCTGGCTACCATGATTGGAGGAATGGAAGGCAAGATAAATGGATGGAATAACAGATGGACGGAGGGATAGACGGAGGGATGAACGGATGGATGGATGGATGGATGGATGGATGACTACATAAATGAATGATAGAATTGATGAACAAAAGGATGGATGGACAAATAGCTGGACAAGTGAATAACTCTGTAAATGTATGGATGGATGGACTGATAGATGGATGGATGGATGGCTACGTAAATAGAGGGATGGATAAACAGAAGGATGGATGGATGGACAAATGGATAATTACATAAATGAATGGATGGACTAATAGATGAATGGACGGATGGCTACGTAAATAGATGGAGGGACAGATAGAGAGATGGATGGACTAATGGATCGATGGATGGATGAACGGGAGACTACATAAATGGATGGAGGGATGGATGAACAGAGGGATGGATCAATGGACAAATAGCTGGACAAATGGATAACCACATAATGGATGAATGGATGAATGGCTATATAAATAGATGGATGGAGAAATGGATGGACTAATGGATGGATGGATGAATGAGAGACTATAAATGGATGGAGTGATTGATGAACAGAAGGATGGATAGATGAACAAATAGCTGGACAAATGGATAATACTACATGGATGGATGGACAGATGGACGGACGGATAGATTGATTATGAATGGCTACATGGATGGATAGATGGATGGATGGATGAATGGGAGACTACATAAACTGATGGAGGGATGGTTGAACAGAAGGATGGATGGACAAATAGCTGGACAAATGGATAACCACATAAATGGATGAATGGTTACATAGATGGTTGGAGAAATGGATGGACTAATGGATGGATGGATGGACGTATGGATGGGAGACTATATAAATGGATGGAGGGATTGATGAACAGAAGGATGGATAGATGAACAAATAGCTGGACAAATGGATAATACTACATGGATGGATGGATGGATGGATGGATAAATAGATTGACAGATGGGGATGGATTGATGATGATAGATGGATGGATGAATGATGGTTAAATGGACAAAGGGATAGATGGATGGATAAACTGATGAATGGGGACAGAGAGATGGATGATGGCTACATAAATAGACAAAGGTATACAGTAGATGGAGGGATGGACAGAAGGGTACTTTAAAGGAGGGATAGGTGGTCAGAAGGTTGGATCGATGGATGAACAAATAGACAGAAAATGGACAACTATATAAATGGATGTATGGATGGAGAGATGGAAGGATGGATGTAATGATGGATTGATAGGGATCATATGCATGGCCGAATTACTGCATGGACGCATGGATGGCTGCATACATGGATGGGTGGGTTGAAAAATGAACAGCTAGATGGATGGATGGATAAATGAAGGGAGTGACAGACAGATGGCTGGATGCATGGATGGTTAGTTGGATGGATGGATGGCACATAATGTGTGTTCTTACTGTGTAGTTTCTTGATGACGTGTTTGTCCAGTGTGCTCTCCTCCAGCAGAATGGTGGATCTCCTGAAGGTCTCGGCTGCGTAAGGCAGCAGCAGGCACAGGTGCTTATGGAGCAGCACCACGCTACTGTCATCCTACACAACAAGCAAACACTTATTATGCAGAACGCCTCTGGGTTCTGGAACAAGAATTTTTGACTAAACATGCTCACACAACAGTATTTTATTGCTTAAAACTACAATGCAAAACCACTGCAACTGGCAGCCTGTGGGAGCTATCATATGGAGTGGGTTTTAACAGGAAATGTGTCATTGTTGTACCTCAGCGCCTGTGTGGATGTAGCAGTGAGCCAGCAGGTGTCTGTGAAGGGCTGACAGCAGGTGGTGGAAGTGTGATGGAGCCTCCGTCTGTTTCTGGGACTGACTGAACCGC